AACAGGCATTGAACAAATATCAAATAAAATAAAATAAAAACACACCACTGCATCTCCCCCTTTCTTTTTACAAAAGGAAGGAGAGTTTTGGTGTTTAAACATATCCATACATTATATAAATAATATAAACTTCATATATAAGATACAGCAAAATCATATGGTAAAATTACAAATTACTGAATGGACATAAGTTGAAAACTATCAGCAAAATATAAATTAATTACGATTACAGGATTACTTAATATAAAATATATAAAATTGTTTTTGATATACAATATAAAAGTAAGAATGCAAGGCTTTAGCTGCCGAAGCTGTAGAGAGTGCGACCCTAGCGCTTAAGGGCGTAGATCACGTTCATGGCCGTGACCGTCTTCCTCTTGGCGTGCCCCGTGTAGGTGACGGCGTCATGGATTACGTTTTCTAGGAAGACTTTAAGCACACCGCGCGTCTCCTCGTAGATGAACCCCGAGATGCGCTTGACGCCGCCGCGCTGAGCCAGACGGCGGATGGCCGGCTTGGTGATGCCCTGGATGTTGTCGCGCAGCACCTTGTGGTGGCGCTTAGCGCCGCCTTTGCCGAGCCCCTTGCTGTCCTTGCCCCGACCAGACATGGTGCTGCACTCGCGGCGCTGCTGCTGCTTGGCTCAGGTTGAGGGACTGGCCTGCAACTTTGTCTGGCTAAATTGTTCTTATACCAGACACAAGACTACTCAAAACTTGCTGTTTTGCTGCTCTGAATAACAATCTCAAATAATATAAATAATATTAGATGGAGTGGTTAAGTGATTGAAAACAAGCAGAAATAAATATTGGAATCTAATTGAAACAACTGAAGTAAAACAATTGAAATAAAATATTTGAATTTGAATAAAACAATTATAATTAAATTAATTGGAATTGAAATTACATAATTATAATACAGAAACAATTGTAACAAATAATAATAATAAAGATAAGTAATGTAATAACACAATTAAATAAAGTAATTAATAAACTGAAAACAATTAAAATGTAGATTTAATATAAAACTATATTATTCAAATGATTTCAACGAAAACAACTAAATATGATAATTTGAATAATTTATATTAAAAGATTACTTAAATATAACTAATAAATTTTAAACCTCGCAGCAGTGCAGCAAGCCTGAAGTAGCGCAGCAGCTACGTGATCCCTGTAGCAATGACGATCACAAATGTAGCTTTTCTTTCTATAAAATATAACTCAACAAGTAAATTATTCGAAAAATAATTAGAAGTAAAAAGAAGCATTTGTAGTTAAATAAAAAGGAACATTGGATAAGGTACATTAAGGAATAGGATGGGGGAATCAGACAATCACTTGATTAGTGACTGTCATGATTAGCAGGGGAATCGGTAAAGGGTAGACAGGGATGCCGCCATTTTAGGGGGAAGACAAAATGGCGGGTTCCCGGTCTGGGGTTTCAGCCCCACCTTCCCCCGAAGGAGATCCCTCCTAGAAAGGGGAGTGATCTCTTAAGAAGAAAGGTCCTCTGATGGGAGGTCCTCGACAGCGATCCGTCCCACCAGAGGAGGAGCCAGAAGAAGGAGGGGAATGTCCAACCCCGCCTCCCCCAATAGGAACTAGCCTCATGCAGGAACTGCCGTGCAGGGCGATTGGGGGAAGGTATGGGACTGGCGGGAAACTAGGGGCGGAAAAGAAGGATCACGGCGGGAAAACGGGTTCCAAGCGGCGTGATCAGCGCCATCTTGGCAGGGGGTGCCGGGTACACTGCCCTTGGCTTGAGCAGTGTCCGGCAGGGCACTTGGGCGGCTTGGCCATAGCCATCTCCAAGGGAGGATAGGGAAAGGTTTAGGAAAGTCTGAGGGGATGAGGGTATGGGGAGCTTCACAGAAGCAAAGGAAAATTTATAGGTGGGGGGCCCGACTCAGATGGATATAAAGGGCCTCCTTTAATAACCCTCCTATAATTACCATGTTGCCCTCTTGACTGTTTGTTATTGGTATTTTTTCTCTGCCCCCTCCAGCCAGCCCAGCTTGGGGAGGGGAGGACAGAAAAAACACCCTCTCAAGAAAAAGAAAAAGCGATCAAATATGGGCCCCCACAGAAGACTGAGGGAAGAGTACTAGCCAAAAGTAGCTCCCCCCGGAAGGGAACCACTCAAGGGTAGCCCCCCCCCCAGAAACGAAAAATCCACCCACCTGCCAGGGACATGCAAGGCTACAGCCCCTGGCTTGGGCGCAGACGGGGGTTAAAACGCGAAAAGAAAAGTGGAAGACCCAGCCACCCGTCGGGGCGACCCCCCACCCCGCATAGCCCACCTTACCTTCTGGGCCTAGGCGGTGATGGCTTGAATCTTTTTCTTGCTCTGATGGAAAAATCGCCTTCGAACTAGTGGTGTTCCCTCTCGGTCTGGCCCTTCCGGAGGCCTGGGTGTTCCCGTTACACCAGGACTCGTCCCCGAAGCCCTGGTGTCGGCCACTATCGACCTCCGGTGGTCTTCCTGCTAATGCTGACCGAGGAACCCCTTCTCGGTCAGCCCTTCTTCAGGCTCCCCCGAGCCACTGCCAGACCGCCCCTCTTCGCCCTTAGGTAAGTCTACCCGCCAAAAAAATTTGCAGCCCGGCCGTGGCTGCTCCCGGGCAGGGTAGAGAGCACGATGACAAGGGCGCAAGAGGGTCCCGGAGCCTCAATCTTCTCCGCTCGGCGTCCGGCTCCTCTTAGCACCATGCAGAGCTCCCACGGCCGCAGATGTTCCTCTTCCCTCCTTCTTCTTCTGTGAGGCGGGCGCCCCCACTAATTTGCCCGTTTCTTCTAAAAGCCGAAGGAGGGAACCATCCTCTGCTACCATATGTTGCGGCGCATGGCATGCGCCCCCCCTCGCCGCGATACCCCGAGCGGNTGGCATGCGCCCCCCCTCGCCGCGATACCCCGAGCGGCGGCGTGCTGGGCGGTGAGAGGGAAGAGAAGGGGCGGCCGCTCCCCCCGGGGTGCTCTGCTGTCCCAGTCGGTGGCGCGGGAACAGAGGAAGGCGACACGGGACTTGGGGTCGAACAAGATGGATTTATTCGGTGAGCCCCAAGACCTTATGGAGAGGGTGAACAAAGGTTTTATACAGAACTCAAGAGGAGGGGAGTAGGAACAACAACTAATGAGGGTAGGGCTGGGGAGGAGTTTAAGGCAGGACTAACATAGCACAAACCAGTCAGGGGAAACAGGGGAGGGGAGTAACACAAAGTAACCAGTAGGGTGTTGAGCCTCACTAAATAGACAGGGAATGGTCTGGAAGTAGGGGAGGAGGCCGAGAGGAATGACAGGGAATGCTCTGAGGAAACTGGCAGGGAAAGGGAGGATTGACAACTTGGAGGGGAGTGGGTTAGGGCAGAGCTTGGGGAGATTGACAACTGGGGAGAGGAGGAGACTGGGGGGTTGGGGGGTAAACAGGCATTGAACAAATATCAAATAAAATAAAATAAAAACACACCACCGCAGAAGGGGAAATAGAAACACTAAAAAACTAGAGTAGAGGACTGGAGGTACAGGCTTAGGATGCCTTCATCCTATACCCAACCTCTGAGGAAATCCTAGTGGGGAAGGTGGGATCATTTAGAGGGAGGGAGGGAGGTAGATTTTGGATGTTTCCAGGGAGATTTATTATAGGACATATTGAGAACACTCATTTCACCTTTCATACATATGAAGAGGTTGTTTTCTTAAAAATGATACATAAATGAAAGAAATCTGCCAGATCTGCAGTGTTCAGCTCTTCAGTCTCTTAGAGACTTTGAAAAGATACCTGCTCAGAGCAGGTTTGGTGCTTGTCTGTAGACCTGTGGGGTGCCGTGTCTATAGGTGCAAACCCATGACACTTTGTGATGTCAGACAAAGAAACAGGGTTTTCTATCCTGTTTATGATCACATTGCCTCTCCAGCTTCCTGAGATGGAGAAGTCCCCATGCAGCTGCTCACAGGCTGCTCCTACCTGCACAGCAATACTCCAGGTGAGCAGCACAGCCACTTTTGGGATCCACATTGTGTTAAGTCTCAGTTGTCCAGGCTAGCTTCCAGTCCTGCATTCTCTTAGTGTGGCTGTTTCTGCTGAAAAGGTGCTGGAATGCTCTTGGGGGTGGCTGTGCCAGCAGTCCAGGGCAGGTATTAATCTCCAGTGAAGGGGAGATGACAGGCAGTGGGGCAGGCCAAGGGCTGTAACCTTTGCAGTCAGCACAGCTGGCATGGCAGAGCAATGCAGCTAAATACCTCATCTTTGGGAAGGCACTCAATACCCACTGTGCTTTTATATATCACTATACATACCAAATACGTTATCTTTAACTTATGCAGTGAGAGGTTTTTGGGCTGAAGATAAAACCCATTGATTGCAGCTCAGTTGTTCAATATCCATTCATTCTGCATGGGATATAAGAATCATTTTGCAGTAGGAATAGTTGCAATATGACCATAGGCTCCACTGCAGTAATTTGAAACATTTTGAATGGTTATGGTAAAAAGTATTAGGAAATGCAGTATTTAGACATTGCTTTAAGTTAGTGCATGCTGCTGAAGGAGCTCTGCACTAATCAGACCTTATGCTGTGGAATTGGTCATTCTATCACTGGTTGTGCCTAATGCTCAGTGCTGTAGAAGCAGATGAAAAATTCATAATGCAAGTGTGTGTGCCTGTGCGAATACAATTACAGAAGGAATTCATCCGCAGTAACTTCAAAGTGCACTCTCCAGCAGGCAGAAAATCACAGTTAAATGCATGGAGTCTTCTGTCCCAGGACATTTGTCCGTGTTGCCTTACAGGGCACAGTTTGTCTTCTTCAGCATATGCAGTACAAATGATGCAACCCAACTTTCAAATACTCGGCCGAGACACACAGCCCTGAGAAACACTCATTATTCCTTGGCTTCACTCTTCCTTTTATTTCTTATTTATTCAAACAGATTACATTCCCATTTGGATAGGATTAGCTGTGGTTTGAAAGTATTGCTGCGGTTTGTCCTGTGAACATGAGTGTAGTATTTAGCTGAGTGAGGTCTGTTTCATGACCTGAAATCTCTTGGATAGAGTACACAAGAGTGTCAGCATTTGTATCTAACTAGATTTCCTGTTGTATAAAGGCATGAGGCACATTTGGGGACCTCTTAGGAATTTTCCCATAGGGTAGAACACAGCATTTGGGGGTTTCTTCATAACTTTTTTAGGAAATGTGGAATTTTTTTTTTTTATCCTTTGCTGTTGAGCTTCTGATTAACATTAACAAATGTATTCAGAACAAGATAAAATAGAAGTGCTCAATGTTTTATTGTAATGGGGCACACAAGAACATCCTGCAGATTGACCTGCCTGTGTGTGCATGTCCCCATACTGCCTAATGAAACCTATATACAACTGTTTTGTAACAGTCAGCAAGGTGACTTTGTCCTCAAGCAATTTAATTTTGCATTTTTAGGATTGAAAATAGCCAGGTAAATGCAATAGGTGTGATTTATATTTTTTTAGATTTATGCAGTTTGTCTTCTAAGTAATTTTTACAAAATGTGAAACAGAGCATTTAATCTGCTCTGAATAGCTGTGTTGCTCCTATGAACATGAAATATTTTTCCTAATTTCATTTAAGAGTTT